TTAAGACTTTACCACGACAAAAAAAAGGAAAATAATCAGCAAGACACGACAATTTAATAATTTTGGCAGCCATTTTTGTTTTAGTCTTAGTCTTCAAATGAAAATTCTTATTGGTCTTAGTCACATTTTAGTCAGTAATTTTGTCTTTCACAGTTTTAGTTGACAAAGCCATTGCATTTTTTGTCAACTTTTAGTAATTACTTTTAGTCAAACTTCAGTTACCGACATTAATTTTGGTAGCTATCTTATTTGTAGTCTTTAGAGAAAAAAATGACATTATAATTTTTCACTTTCGGCCAATTCAATTAAGCTTATGAGACATTTGAATCAAGGAAACGGGCTGTATTGAGAATGCACTCTTTAGCAGTAGCACTTGTGCAATTCTACATATCCCTGTTCCTCAGTTCAGTGGTTCTCCAATTTTTTAGAATGCCATAGCCCTCTTGCACTCAGACTGCAGTCACAACATTTAGGGACAATATCTGCCCCCTTTAATCGATTTTTTTTCCAGTTCATTTTTTTACCTGTATAAATACTTTCGTAAAATAAATAATGCTTTAAATAAAAAAAGTTCAATAAATATCCAATGATGGTAAAAACGAGGTGATACTTTTAAACATTAAATTAAAATCGCCAGTAGGTGACGGTAAGTCACTGTCTTTATGAGCGAGTCATCCGTCATCGAGTCATTCATTCATCAGTAACAAACATGGTAACAAAGCAAGTGTCTGTATTTATGAACGGGTCATTGAATCTCACAAATTCGAATCACCACTGTTTGCCGCAGTTCTGCAGTGGCTTTCGTTGCAAAACAGCAATAATATGCAATAATATGATCAACATTAAAAACACTGCTGGATATTAGCCTGTATTGATTGCAGATTTAGTCGCACAAACAGCTCGTGACAGAATAAAGACCAACTGAATGACACTTTAATTAATTCAAGTAGATAATCTCAAATGAATATCACTGAACTCCAGATACTTGTCTGTTTTCAGATCATCAGCGCTTCTTCAGCAGTGTAGAGCATGGTTGCCAGATACTATTGACAAGACCGGGTAGAAAACGTGTTCTTTTAACAGAAAAGCTCTGACTGGGGATTTAATTATTTACATCTGGCAACCAAGCATGAATGCCCGTAAACACAGTCTGTTAACAAAACAAAAAAACGGCGAGTGACGAGTCACTCAAAATGACGAGTCGGACAAGAAATTTAAGCTCCGTACGTGAAATTTAAAACCTCCTTATCGGGAATTTCAGATTTTAAGACATTTTCAGGCCTTAAAAAGCGAAAATTTTATTTAAGAAGTTTTAAGACTTTTTAAGGACCCGCGGGGACCCTGCAACACTTCCGGTAGACGCTTCTTCGTTCGTTGGTGTTCAGCGGTTTCTTCTTCCGCTCGGCGGACTGTGAATATCGAAACTAGGAATCGAAATGTTAACTTTTGAACGATTCCGGGAAAAACGAAAAGTTAGTCCCGGTTCCAATCGATACTCGATTCTCGATACCCAACCCTAGTTATGACACACTTCCTGTTTCACGTTTCTTGCCATAATTTTGTTTCCTCGCCACTGCCAAACAGTTCGAGATATCAAAAATCCCCTCGCAAACTTTCATCCTCAATGTCTTTACTTCACGCTGACCGAGTTTCGTCGAATTTGGATCAGAGCTCTAGGAGGAGTATTTCAAATTCCATTGCAAGTGTTTTACGAACAACCCTAAATAGCCGACTTCCTGTTGGGCTGGGGTAAAAAGTAAAAGTGCGAAGTATATATATAACAATGAGATCGACATGTGCACCGAGTTTCATAATACGATATATACGCGTTTGAGTTATGGACCAAGTGTTCGGACCCCGTTCCAGGGGGCGCTGTCGAGCCCCCCTGCCACGCCCGGGTACCATCTTCAGCCCCGCCCTAATGGCCGCGGGTTCTGACCCGTGTACAAAGTTTCAAGAGTTTTTGAGCATGTTAAGGGCCCAAAAAGTGCTCGAATAGTCGTTAGAAAAAAAAATAATAATCGGAAGGAAAACAATAGGGCCTTCGCCCTTTCAGGGCTTGGGCCCTAATAATAGAAAAGAATAATCCCAAGGAAAACAATAGGGCCCTTGTCCCCTTTCAGGGCTTGGGCCCTAATAAATAATCCCAAGGAAAACAATAGGGCCTTCGCCCTTTCAGGGCTTGGGCCCTAAAAATAACCCTAACTGTTTCAATAGGGTCCTCGCACTGTTAGTGCTCGGGCCCTAAAAATAACCCTAACAGTTTCAATAGGGTCCTCACACTATTAGTGCTCGGGCCCTAAATAATCCCAACAGTTTCAATAGGGCCTCGCACAGTTAGTGCTCGGGCCCTAAAAAATAATCCCAACAGTTTCAATAGGGCCTCACACAGTTAGTGCTCGGGCCCTGAATATTCTGTTACCTATCCTGTGTGTATTCAACTCTTAACGGACACTGAGGATCATTGGATGTGTGGAATGTAACACAAACTCCAAGGTAGCCTAAGTGTTTTTACATATGATGTTTTGTTAATAGCCTAAAATAATATGAACATTGTAAAAAAAAAAATATGCACCATAATCTGTTTTGCTGTGCCCTACAAAGGCAAAGCACAGGGGATTTATGACATGTGTTCTGTCTTGTGAAAAAATATCTGGGTTAAATTATGTCCCGTTTCGGAGATGCATTACCACTAATCTACCCATAACATGTTTGACTGGCTGGTATAAAAACTTTAAAGGCTTTTTTCTCTGTTTCTTTGTTTGCGTAGTTACTGCACTTTGCCTTTGTAGAGCACCGTGTGTGTAGTCTATAGATCTATACAGTACGGGTCAAAAGATATTTTTTTAAATGTCTTAAAGAACAATATTAAGCAGCACAACTGTTTTCAACATTGATAATGATAACAGAAATGTTTCTTGAGCATCAAATTAATAACATCAGCATATTATCTGGATTTTTCTGAAGGATCATGTGACACTGAAGGCTGGAGTAATGATGCTGAACATTCAGCTTTGATCACAGGAATAAATTACACTTCACAATACATTCACAGAAAACAGCAGTTAAATATTTGTATTTTGAAATAATTGGATCAAATAAATACAGCCTTGGTGAGCAGAAGGGACTATTCAAATATTTTCAAACTTTTGACTGGTACTGTGTGTGTTGTAGCCTATGTGCTGGCTATGCCTAATTCATTTAATAACTATTATTATTATGTATGTGGAAACTCATGACAATGAATTAAGTCAAAATGATTTAACTTTTGAAATTTAATCATATCGAATATCCATTAACAAAAAATGTTGACCTTTAAAAACTTTAAAACTCAGCTTAAATAGGCCTATCAACATTTCTAATTGATTTCATATCTAATATTTTAAAACCCGACGCCAGCACGGTAAAATTTTACCGGCACAATCCAGCACAAACGAAGCACAAATGAACGAGACTATTTTGGGTGAATTTGGATCATGTGGGGGGCTGGTGATGTCATCAACAATAATGTAATGTCTAATATTATAAAAACCAACGCAGCACAATTGAATCTTTTACCGGCACAATCCAGCATAAACGAACGAGGCTATTTTGGGTGAATTTGGATCATGTGGGGGGCTGGTGATGTCATCAATAATAATGTAATGTCTAATATTATAAAAACCGACGCAGCACAAATTAATCTTTAATCTGAGTGACGTCATCGACCTAACATTCAATGATTAATATTTAAAAATCCAAAGCAGGTCAAACGAAACTTTTTACAGCACAAACGGAGCACAAACGAACAAGACTATTTTGGATGAAATTGGAGCATGCGGGGGGCTGGTGACGTCATCGTCTATAATTCAAAGTCTGTTATATTAAAGGGTTAGTTCACCCAAAAATGAAAATTAAGTCATTAATTACTCACCCCCATGCTGTACCAACCCCGTAAGACCTTCGTTCGTCTTCGGAACACAAATGAAGATATTTTTGATTAAATTTGAGAGCTGTATAACTACCACATTGGCTCCTAAAGGACTGCCTCTTGACGGCCCAGAAAGTCAATGAAGAAAATGTTTAAATATCCCAAGTGACTACCGTGGCTCAACTATATGTTTATCAAGCGACGCGAATACTTTTTGTGCGAAAAAACAAACAAAAATAACGAGTTTATTCGACTATTTCTTTTCTTCCTTGTAGGCCAGAACGAGACTTCCTTAGATTTCCACGACGCATGCGCGAGAATTGCGATCTGAAGTGGTGTAAGCTGGTGTGAGCAGATCGCAAATCTCGCGCATGCGTCGTGGAAATCTAAGGAAGTCTCGTTCTGGCCTACAAGGAAGAAAAGAAATAGTCGAATAAACTCGTTATTTTTGTTTGTTTTTTCGCACAAAAAGTATTCTCGTCGCTTGATAAACATATAGTTGAGCCACGGTAGTCACTTGGGATATTTAAACATTTTCTTCATTGACTTTCTGGGCCGTCAAGAGGCAGTCCTTTAGAAGCCAATGTGGTAGTTATACAGCTCTCAAATTTAATCAAAAATATCTTCATTTGTATTCCGAAGACGAACGAAGGTCTTACGGGGTTGGTACAGCATGGGGGTGAGTAATTAATGACTTAATTTTCATTTTTGGGTGAACTAACCCTTTAAAACCTGACGCAGCACAAACTAAAATTTTACCGGCACAATCCAGCACAAACGAAGCACAAACGAACGAGACTATTTTGGGTGAATTTTGATCATGTGGCGGGGCTGAGTGACCTCAGAATGACCTAAAAATATTATTTTAATATCTAAAAAACTGAAGCAGCACAAACGAAACTTTTTACAGCACAAACAGAGCATAAATGATTGAGCATATTTTGACGACGTTTTGCGTTGGGTGGGGGGCCAACTTCACGCAGGTATAATACTCTCTATATAGACCAGTGGTTAACCCTGCTTTACCTGTGAAGAGTGAACTGTATTTCAAAGCATCAGCTAAATACCTACTGTTTTGTTTTTGTACTAGAAGCATCCCCACGGAAGAAACACAGATTTCGCCCTGGCACGCGAGCTCTCATGGAGATACGCAAATATCAGAAGTCTACTGATCTGTTGCTTCGCAAGGCCCCATTTTCTCGACTGGTACTACTGGTTCTGTGCATCGTTCATCATTCACTTCAGAAGCTATTTTCACAAATGTATCAGTGATGTAAAAGTTTATTTTATTTTTCCTGACAGGTACGAGAGGTGTGTCAGACATTTAGTCGAGAGCACATGATGTGGCAGGGATATGCTCTAATGGCTTTACAGGAGGTAGGTGATCAAAAAGTATTTATTTTAATTTTACATTGTATTATAAAATGTTTAGTTCTTGGATAGGTCCATAGCAAAAGTTACTAGTATATCTATATCACTGCACAGTAACCATAGAGACCAACTATCAACTTGTGCCTATGTAGTGAGGTAAATGTGCAGGTCACAAATAACCCCAAAATAAAAAGAAATTGAAAAAAAGTCACTGTGTAATTAGATTGTATTACAGTATTTTCATAACATTACTGTATTAAAATAACAACAGTGTTCTTTTTTTATTTAATTCTCATGGCACTTCTCGTAAAGAGTAGGCCAGATTCCCTCGATTGGCCCTTATAGGTATAAAATTTCCTCATTCATTCATGCATTCATTCATTAAATCTGGACAATTTATAGGCAGTACAAGAAGTATAATTTTGTATAAATTCTTCAGACAGTTTAAATGTTCTCAAAATTCGAAGTATGTTGGCGTCACTAGGGTGGGGCCAGTGTTGGGAAAGTTCAATTTCTACATGAACTAGTTCAAAGTTCAGTTCTCAAATTTTAAAATGAACTAGTTAAAGGGTTAGTTCACCCAAAAATGAAAATTCTGTCAGTATTTACTCACCCTCATGTTGTTCCAAACCCGTAAGACCTTCGTTCATCTTCGGAACACAAATTAAGATATTTAAGATATTAAGATCGCTCCTGCATACAGTCCATAGGCTTCTTGAGGGACTGGCTCTTGCTGTCCCCGAAAAGTCATTAAAGACATCGTTAAAATAGTCCAAGTGACTACAGGGGCTCAATCTTAAGTTTATCAAACGACGAGAACACTTTTGTGCGCAAAAAAACAACAAAAATAACGACTTTATTTCAACTATTCACTTCCTTCTCCATGAGCCTGTAAGTCAGTTAACGTAGTGTGATTGCGTAGAGCTACGTCACACGTAGGCTCACTATTGGCCGACGCTGGTCATGTGTGTGTGATGCGTGTGACGTACAATAACAGAAGCTTACGCTATTAAACTAGTAACCTGACTCGCGCAGAGGGAGAAATAAACGAATAGTTGAAATAAAGTCGTTATTTTTGTTGTTTTTTTGCGCACAAAAGTGTTCTCGTTGTTTGATAAACTTAAGATTGAGCCCCTGTAGTCACTTGGACTATTTTAACGATGTCTTTAATGACTTTTCGAGGACAGCAAGAGCCAGTCCCTCAAGAAGCCTATGGACTGTATGCAGGAGCGATCTTAATATCTTAAATATCTTAATTTGTGTTCCCAAGATGAACGAAGGTCTTACGGGGTTGGAACAACATGAGGGTGAGTAAATACTGACAGAATTTTCATTTTTGGGTGAACTAACCCTTTAAGTTCATAGTTTATACATCACAATTTTGAACTAAGTTCACAGTTCAAAAAAAGAAACTAGTTCATAGTTCTTTTTTTCCATATGTTGCTGCAAGCTATTTTTTTTTATTGCCACAGCCCATATACAACCACAGACAGCAATTATTTTAACAGCGGGCAAAGTTTGCACCGAAATGTAAGATTTTTCCCATCCTCACCAACCTTGTCTTAAAACTAATCATACGATGCAATGCCTCCTCGCTGCTTTGTCGACTATATTCTGCTTCTTGTCTTGATGACGCATACGGCGCCGCGGTGCGACACTGGAGGCTGGAGTTGCCAGATGGGGTGTTTTCATCAGCAGTCATCAGTGGCATCTGGTCCCTGTAAAAAATAAACACCTGTGAACAAGCTGATATCAAGAGAAACTATAGGGCTGCACAATTTCGGGAATATATTTTTTTATTTTTTTGTTTACATTTATTAAATATATATGAACACCACGTTTGTTGTGCATTGTTATAGCCTATGTATAGGGCTGCATAAAATGATAACAGACAAATAGCAGGCAGCCTATATATCGTTAAAAAGGAACACTTCAGTAACACTACACTAGACAAAAATATATGGATTATAAAACAGTATGTTACTTCAAACGTTTCCATTCGTTATGAAATGAGATTGGAGAAAACCTATATGTTTGGCATGTTTTGCTTTTCAAACACACAGCACGAGTGACTCAAACTCAGCACGTCCAGGGGCCGGTTTAACAAAGCTATTTTAGACCGGTCTATAGTGTTAGACACGTCTAAAATTTGCTCATAGACTAGTCTAATGCAAGTTAGACAGTTTCACAAAAGTAAAGACTGACTTAATTTTAGACCAAAAAAATTAGACACCTTACCCCCAGGCTAACTTTGGTCTAAGACTCTATGTTACCTTGGCAACTAGGGTTGCCGCGGTGAGGAAAATTTCCCACCGGTTAATCGACGTGTGACAACACCGGTAATCCCGGTGTCACCGTGGAGGGCAGGGCGGGGGGGTTAAATAGCTTTTAAATGCGTGCGCGTTATACTTTCACTTTCGAAATAAGCGTCAATTGCTTGAATGGACAAAAAAAACAACTCGCTGATAATAAAACTTTTATTTATAGACTTTTATTAGCATAACGAACGAATAAAAATAACCCCATGCATAGGCTGAAAAAAGTGAAAATCGGCAAAATGTGGGCCCAAACAAATAAGAACCATAAAACGTTTATTAACGAATAAGAAAATAAAATAGGCCTAAATAAATTACACAAAGTTTAAATGAGATAAAACCAATTAAAAAGAGACGAATATAAAATAAAAACTTCAAAACGGACCTTAGCCTACATAAATGACATACTTTCACTTTCGAAATAAGCGTCAATTGCAATTCAGCGTCAATTGCTGGAATGGACAAAAAAAAAAAAAAAACTCGCTGACAATAAACTTTTATTTAGACAGCACTTTTATTAGAATAATAAACGAATAAAATATAGACAGAACTTTTATTAGCATAACGAACGAATAAAAATAACCCCATGCATAGGCTGAAAAAAGTGAAAATCGGCAAACTGTGGGCCCCAAAAAAATAAATAAAACGTTTATTAACCAATAAGAAAACAAAATAGGCCTAAATAAATTAATCAAAGTTTAAATAAGATAAAACCAAATAAAAAGAGACGAATATAAAATAAAAACTTTAAAAAGGACCTTAGCCTACATAAATGACAGCACTCTAAAAAAAAGTAAAACACTATAAATTGGCATTTATTAACATTAATATATATTGGCCAAAATATTGCCAAACAGGCGCTTTTGCATTGCGTTTTGACACCAAATCTTCCGCCATTATCTTGCTTTTCTGTAATTTGACTTGTTCTCGTCTCCACACGTGCTAAATGGAATCCTGATGCTTGCTGATCTGTGACGTGACGGCACGCGTTGCGCAGTTCATTTTTAATTATAATGCTCTCTTCAGAACTAAATAATTGAAAATTATTATTTTTAATTAATTCAAATAAATATTTTAGCAAAAGCGAATACTTTAAAAAAAAAAGTCAAGACATCGCGGTGTCACGGTGGGAAAGTGATGTCACCGGTGATGGGGCTTAAAACCGGTAACACCGTCAACACCGTCTATCGCGGCAAGCCTATTGGCAACCAACAGTAGCAATCGGTTACATTACAAACAGCCAAAAGAGAAGGGAAAATGGCTCATAATTTGTGGTTTTCTGACGAAGTAATGGAGAGAGCTATGAGAATGGAAAGGGTTTTTAGGGACCGCAGTAACCTACTGGAAATATATAATAATGAGGACTTACTGAGTCTGACTGATGAATTAGCTGAAGTACTGAGCCCTGCCACTTCAAGAAGCCCCAGCATCCCAGCATTGCTACAGGTTTGCACTGCGTTGAGATTTTATGCAACAGGATCGTTTCTGAATGCTGATGGTGACACAGTGGGTCTCAGCAAAGCTTCTGTGTCACGGGTGGTATACAGGTTATCAAGGGCACTTTCAAATAAGCTCCCTCAGTTTCCAAACCAACTGGCAGAGCTGAACAAAGTCAAAAGAGGGTTCTTCAGCATAGCAAGATTTTCCAATATTGTTGGAGCAATTGATGGGACACATGTCAGAATCCAGGCTCCAACAGCTCGTGAACATTTGTTTGTGAATAGAAAAGGATACCACAGCCTAAACATTCAGGCTGTTTGTGATTCTGATCTCCGGTTCCTAAACTGTGTGGCCCACTGGCCTGGATCAATTCATGACTCTTGAATTCTTCAAAATTCTCAACTTTTCCAAGCATTTGAACAAGGCATTATCGATGGGGTCCTGTTGGGGGACTCTGGCTACCCTCTAAAACCTTGGCTCCTAACTCATTTTCTGAATCCTACTACACCTGCACAGAGAAACTACAACTCGTAACACTGTAGAGCGGGCATTTAGTGTACTGAAGAGGCATTTCCGTTGTCTACATGGGGAATTGCGAATGACACCTGACAGAGTGTGTAACATCATCTGTGCGACTGTTGTGCTGCATAACATAGCGAGGTAGGCCTACCTGAAAACAAACAATTTAAATTGATAGCCATTTTCAATAGGCCTAATTGAATAACTATTTACCACATTCTACAATTATAATCATACTTGTTTACTTCTTAATCATTAGGGATCTCCGGCTACCTGACCCTCAAGGAGAGGATATCAGAGATGACAATCACAATGAACTGGAGGACAGAGAAGATTTAGAGGAGCAGAATGGAACCGGTCGATATGTGCGTCAGATGTATGTTGACAGGGTTTTCAATGTATGAAACAACAACAAAAATCACATCAAAGTGGGCCACCATGTTGTCTGTCTTTACCTATTAGGCTTAAATGAGTAGCTACCAACTTAATAAATATATATATATATATATATATATTTATTTTTTGAAGTTTTCTAAAGTGACATACTGTTCATTCAATAAATTAGTACAATAAATTATACAGCGTTTGTGTCTCTTTTCATTCATATCAAAAGCCTCAAAGTAATTAAAAGAACAACATATCACTATCGTTCAAACTCTTAACCATTTTTCTCACAAAAAAAATGACATACTGTTCATTCCATAAATTAGTACAATAAATTATATAGCGTTTGTGTCTCTTTTCATTCATATCAAAATCCTCAAGGTTATTAAAAGTACAACATATCTACAGTTCAAACTCTTAACCATTTTTCTCACAAAAAAATGACATACTGTTCATTCAGTAAATTAGTACAATAAATTATACAGCGTTTGTGTCTCTTTTCATTCATATCAAAATCATCAAGGTTATTAAAAGTACAACATATCTACTCTTAAACTCATTCAAACTCTTAACCTGTGTAAAACTAATAAGGCAGATTAGAAGTAGGTCTACTCAACATATTAACTTTTGAAACAGCTTTAAAAAACACAGAAAAGAATTAGTCTAAAATACCTTATTGTCTTATTGGAAGTATTTAAGATATTCACAACTCCACTGACTGTTTTTGCAAGTCTGATTTTAATTTATCTTTCTGAAACTGTAAAACTTCAATCTCGAGCAGCAATTTCCTCTCTTCCAGTTCAAGATTTCTGTATTGTTTGTCTAGCACCATTGACATAGTTGTTGCTCTCGACACTGATGTGCAAACCACGGGAGCAGCAGCTGTAGCTGATGCTGATCCTGACGCTGACTCAGACTCTTCATCTGCCGTCCCCTCCCGTCTCTCACCCGGCTCCTCCTCCACTGCCTCACTTCGGTCCCAAGTCAAAGACAGGGTCACTAAAAATAAGTACAGACATAACATTACCTTACTTGCTTCATGAATCAGATTCCTACATTACATAAATTGCAGACCTAGAACATAGCTTCCTTGTATTATAGGCTGAAGCAGTACGTTGTTAATGTTTATTTTCTGGCTAGCAAGCTTACTGGTTCACATTAGCATAACTTACATCAACTTTACATCGACTTTATTAGCATCAACTCGACGGCAATGAAGCAAAAGTAAAAACCGAACTGATTTCTTTAAAACAATCACCCGCAGTTACCTGTATTCTCCTCTTGATTGTCTGGCTCTTCCTCTTGACAAGGCGGGGTGCTGCTGTCAGTGGCTGAGGGAACTCCGCCGGTAACGTCGCTGTTGACGCCGCACACTCCACTTTCCTGTCCTCCGCTTATCCCCCAGAACATAGGCGACTGTCCGCCATATATAGTCATTACCATTTCTGTGATTCTAATAAGTGAAATGGGGGATTCTAATAAGTGAAATGAGTGTAATGTGGCGGCCAGCAGAGCGGGCCGTTATAGTGTATTACATAAGCACATAGGGGAAGCACAAGGGGCGAACCGGTTGTGGGAGAACTCCCAATAGTGCAGCTCCTAGGGGAGCTGAAGGCATACTAGACAGCTAGTAATTTCGCCTGCAAAGGGGGAACTTCCAAGTTATAAAATCTGACAAAGGTGGACGGGGAGGCCCATCCTGCGGCCACAAAAAAAATGTTGTGAATGGAAAGTCCACAGGACCATGCCCACGATGAGGCCATGCTTCTAGTGGAATGAGCCCTGATGCCCAGAGGGCAAGGCAGGCTTTTAGAGGCGTAAGCTAATCAGTTCGACCTGGAGAAACTGAACATGTCGTTGCTTTCATACGGATTACTTAAAGGGTTAGTTCACCCAAAAATGCAAATTCTGTCAGTATTTACTCACCCTCATGTTGTTCCAACCCTGTAAGACCTTCGTTCGTCTTCGCAACACAAATTAAGATATTTAAGATATTAAGATCGCTCCTGCATACAGTCCATAGGCTTCTTGAGGGACTGGCTCTTGCTGTCCCCGAAAAGTCATTAAAGACATCGTTAAAATAGTCCAAGTGACTACAGTGGCTCAATCTTAAGTTTATCAAACGACGAGAACACTTGTGCGCAAAAAAAAACAACAAGAATAACGACTTTATTTCAAACTATTCGTTTATTTCTCCCTCTGCGCGAGTCAGGTTACTAGTTTAATAGCGTAAGCTTCTGTTATTGTACGTCACACGCATCACACACACATGACCAGCGTCGACCAATAGTGAGCCTACGTGTGACGTAGCTCTACGCAATCACACTACGTTAACTGACTACTGGCGCATGGAGAAGGAAGTGAATAGTTGAAATAAAGTCGTTATTTTTGTTGTTTGTTTTGCGCACAAAAGTGTTCTCGTCGTTTGATAAACTTAAGATTGAGCCCCTGTAGTCACTTGGACTATTTTAACGATGTCTTTAATGACTTTTCGGGGACAGCAAGAGCCAGTCCCTCAAGAAGCCTATGGACTGTATGCAGGAGCGATCTTAATATCTTAAATATCTTAATTTGTGTTGCGAAGATGAACGAAGGTCTTACGGGGTTGGAACAACTTCAGGGTGAGTAAATACTGATAGAATTTGCATTTTTGGGTGAACTAACCCTTTAAACAAAGAATATTTGTTTTTGGTATGTTTTACATAATTTAAAAATGGAGACTTAAAGCTTTGTAAAGACATAATTCTCACATGTGTGTGGCAAGTATTTGCTGAGTTAAATATATTTTAAGTCACCTTTCAGAATGAACTTGAAATTGAGAGAGAAGGAAGAAACGCACATCATGTTTATTTTCTTTATTTTACAAAAAACACAACATTTTGTTTTTATTGTTAGTGCACACAAATAAAAGTAGACATTTAACAGTTTTGATTGATGTATAACACTTGTATCACAAAAATCGACAGTTATTTGAGTCTCTTTTGCACTGATAAGAAAAAAAAAAGAGATAATCACGCTGGCATGATGGTCGACCCCAGGGGGTCAAAATGCTTGAAGTACTTGAATTTGAATTTTTGACAATTAAATTCTGAAAAACCATTGAAAACAGCCATATTTATGAAAAGGCACTTGAATTATTGAAAGACAATATATGAAATGTATTGTTTAATTTCATCGATAAACAATCTTTTCACATGGCTATGAGCATGATATTGACGCATGCGTGAGAACTGAACTGAAGTAGTGTAAGGAGATCGCAATTCGCGCGCATGCATCGTGGAAATCTAAGGAAGTCTCGTTTATGGCCTACAAGGAAGAAAAGGAATAGTCGAATAAACTCGTTATTTTTGTTTGTTTTTTCGCACAAAAAGTATTCTCGTCGCTTGATAAACATATAGTTGAGCCACGGTAGTCACTTGGGATATTTAAACATTTTCTTCATTGACTTTCTGGGCCGTCAAGAGGCAGTCCCTTAGGAGCCTATGTGGTAGTTATACAGCTCTCAAATTTAATCAAAAATATCTTCATTTGTATTCCGAAGACGAACGAAGGTCTTACGGGGTTGGTACAGCATGGGGGTGAGTAATTAATAATGACTTAATTTTCATTTTTGGGTGAACTAACCCTTTAAAAGAAAAGGCTCAATAAACTATTGCATAGATAGATAATGTATAATTATCTAATAGATAGATAACTGTATAATACACTATGCATTGATATGTATTTCCTTTGTGCTTTGAACTTTTCAATGCGTAACTTAGTCTAAACAGAGCTGCGCGTTGTGACTCATGTTGCCTCAAGCGCATCATTCGGTGTTCGGGATGCGCATAAGCGCTGTGTGCAGCACTCTTTGCTCTATTGGGGTCTTTCATAATCATATCATAATACTTTTGCGAAATGAAAGATTATTAATAGTATTTTTTTGTTTTGTTCTATCCTATCTATCATATGTTGCTGCCTCATAAACAGCTGTGCTATACATTTGTGCTATATATATATATATATTGTTAATTTTATAGTAGACTATAAAATAATTGATCTTTTTGATTTTTATCTTGTTTTTCATTAATGTATTTTACAACAATACAAAGAGCCATGTGTAAAGTTTTACCAGATTTATTGCTACACTTATTGTCTCTTATTTGTTCGCCACTAATTTTTTTTCCACTAAATGTTCTGATTTTATAAAATTATGAAATTTAAAATTAGTTACCCACTAATCTAGTTTATAATATAATTTTTGTCATATGATGAACTTTTTTTTTTTCTTTTTAAGGAAGTTATCTGTGTTAAGTATAGATTGTGTTTAACACACAAAAGAGTGATTATCAGTTCAACAAACAGTTATAGAAATTCTACTTGATTTTTTTTTAAACTGCGTTGGTAACGGATAGGTATCGGCCTTTTTTATTTTTATTATTAGGCCTATTATTTTAGCTAACGCAACGGAGGCAATAATTTTTTTGACTCATGGCTGAAGTTAAGTTTCTCCAGCTCTCCCCAGTTTGGCAAAAAATGCATCTCAAAATGCATCAGATTGATGCTTTAAAATATGGAATATTTAAAATTTTCTTACGGGGGACCATCCCCTCGGACCCCCCTAGAGGGGTAATATACTTCTCACCTTTTTTACCCCTGACCGGTTTTCATGCCTGCACTTGCTTCGCTGCCCTTGCAGGCCACGCCTACTGGTAACAGAGCGCAGTAGTTAAACAACAAGTCTAGGCTACCAGTGAGTCTCCATAATGAGTCGGCCCAAAAATGTGTTTCGAGATCGCCCAAAATGTCCGGGATTCTTTTCCGTTCTACAGTCCCCATTCGTTATGTTTACTGTGGTGAGCAGGACAAGACTGAGGGCCGTGGGAGAATGATGCGAGGCTGGTGGCGTGTTTGCGAAGAGCGACACCAGTGGCGTGATTATGATGAGCGACACCTGTGAGACACACCGGTCTCGTATCTCTCATGGAGAACCGGGGACTTTATTAGCAATGTTAAAACGCACATCAACCAATCACTTTTTTTAGTGTTCATGTGAACACTAGATTCAAATTCACCAATCGGAATGAATTCAGTTAGATTGAAACAAAATCTAAT